GTTGTTTACATGGATTAACTCAGTCTCCTCCTCTTACTGGAAAATGCTTTTGTTAGCCATAGTTTACAGAGAAGTAAACTAAGGCCCAGAGAGTTTAAATAACTTTTCTAAAGTTACACAGCTGGCAAATGTGGGTATAGAGATTTTTGAGTTTCAGCATATACATGGTAGAAGGGACCAGGGGAATCTTTAAGGACTCCCTTGGAAGTCACATAGAAACAATAGAGCTCCAGATGCCACTCTGGGGAGACAATGGCATTAAAGAATATGCAGAAAAGGAAAGGCCTTGAAAAGATACTTGCAAACAGCAATATTGGCAAATGGGTGCAAAGGGAAAAATTCTGGGATGTGCAATAGAAACAGTCTAAATGCCCAGCACTGGGGAATTTTTGATTAGATTATGTTATGATCCACACAGCAGACTGCAGTGTAGCCATTTTTTAAAGCGATGTTGCAGGGTAAATTTTACTGATAAAACTAAAATATTTGACATGTTACGTGAAAACCCAAGCAGGTTACAAAGTGGTAGGAGTTCATTTTTATTTCTTAAAATGTATGTTTGAAAGACAAGAGAGATTATACCGTTAAGACTGGAAAGACACAAATATATTAACAGCATTTACCTCAGGATTGGAGATTTATGGGTAATATTTTTTAAATGTACCCAGTAAATATGTATTTTCAAAAGGAGAAAGATTGGGTGTATGGGTTCGTTGTTGAAGGGTTAAGACTTGTCTGGGAAATGAAGACCGTGCCTCGAGCAGTTCACTGTTAATTCCTGAAACCAGGGGACGAGGCGGTGAAGATGGAGTTGAGCGGACACTGTATTGGGATGGCTGGAGGGACTCAGCTTAGGAACTAGCCCCTTTCTAATTGTACATTCGAGGCCTGTGGGCTGCCGTGCTGACATCCCCTTTCTCTCCTTTTGTCTGTGATTATTCAGGTCGTGTCTTTGTCTGAAGGCCAGGTGATCAGGAATTCTTACCTGTCATTGCTGTAAGACCTAGTTGTTTTTGTTTTGTTGTTGATTTTTTTTTTTTTTTGTCTCTTTTCATTTCGTGCTTTTATAATGGAGGGAAATATTTTTAGCTTTTCACAGCAGGCTTTGAAATCCTGTCATGGAGAGTACTCCACCTCAAGCTGGTAGTTAGTGTGCAACCTGTTTGCTAATAAACCAAAGCAGGACCCCAATGTCAGAATGCTTAAAATGGTCAAATCAGCTGGGACCCGTCTCCACATCTGACATGCCTTTTCCATTTCCCAGCCTCATGCAGAACATAAACCTGCATCCGGAGGTGGCTCAATGTGAACTCTTATAAATTGGAGTGGGTATCTAGGGATTGGGGAGCAGACACTTCTTCTTTTAACCTTTGAAGACCAAGAATCATTTGGCCAAAATAATCCACAGTGTATTGAACTTAGGGTGTGAAAGCTGTACAGTGTATGAAATGTGAATTTGAGACCATGAATTCTACCCACACTGACTCTATAAAACAGCCTCCCTTTTTCACAAAGCAGGCCCATAAACTGCTGCCAGTGAAGCAGAAAGACTCCTTAGGACTGTGGCTCGCTTTCCGTCTGGGGTTGTCAACAAACCCCCTTTATGAGTGGAATAGACCTCTTGTATGTGTCGAGCTTCTGGCTTTTTACAGAGTGTGTTAGGATCCAGGCAAGGCAAACGTTAGGCACTGTTTGCTGAGTGCATTTATTGCCTTTGCATAATTTATGAGCTGGAGGGGTTGACCATCATTCGTCTCTGCCAGGGGCTGGCACTCGAGGCTCCAGAGAATGGAGCTGTAAATTGGATGGTGCGCTCCTGCTGAGCTCAAGGCAAAGTCCTCGGGTCAGTATGGGAATTTAATACCAGAAATGGAACTGTTTTCTCAGCGCGCCATGTGGACCCCAGTGCAGCAGAGACTGTTTTGGCAGACTCCACGACTGGCCTTGTCGAGGAGCTGTCACTCACCCGGCATGTTGTGTGGGGAGCCTGAGCATTTTTAATCGGCTTGGCATCCGTGCTGCTTCCATAATGGATACCAGTAGGTCTCAGTTCTTCACCATATGCTTAACTCTGGAGACAAGGTGCTTCTGGGTATATCAGTAATTACTTGATGGAGAATTAAGTGGACCTTGAAATTAGAACTGGACTGTTGGAAAGCAGGAAGCTTAACACTTAGATAGAAATAACCATTCCCAGGGACATACTGCTGTTAGGATAGGAGGCACAGTGGTGGTTCTTTCCCAACTGCTCCACTCCTCTTCCTCCCTGCACAGCAGAATCTTGGGGAGGTGGGCAAAGGCGATGCCACAGCCTTCAGCTGTCATTGATTACCTCATACGGAGTGCTGTGAACATCTGGGAACATGAGCCTGCCTGGCAAAATACTCTTCTGTCTTCCACATCCCTCCTGAATTGAGCGTTGTCATTCTCGAAAATGCTCCAAATCTTAGGAACCTCAAGGAGGGCCTAATTAAGGCAATGGAGAGATCACATAATCAGGACACTATTGTTCCTCATCCCCTGCGGTTCTAGGCTTTCAAAATCTTTATCTCATCCAATTTCTTTCTCAACTCATTTGGTGTATTATAATAAAGAAACCACTCATCAGGTAAAAGAATATAAGTGTAGACAATCTGAGGTTGGAAGCTGGGTCGGAAATGAGGCGTTGCACTTGGTGAAATCACTGTCACTGAATATCTGACTACTCTGTGGCACTGAGGAGCCAATGGGAGAAGTAGAAAGTGTTCTGATCCTTCAGTCTGTAAGATTGTGACATAAGTTCCTACATGCTTTTAGTACAGAGTGCTTAGTCTAAAAAGAATAAGTAGTCCCCAGGTTGTCTCACAGTAGCAAGAAGTCCAGTTGGATGGATGTCTTGTTACTTCCCATTAAAAGCACTCTGATAGGAGCTTAAACAATCAGGTAACTTAGTGTTTTCTGAATAAAAAAAGTCCTGAGGCAGGCTGCTCTGAGTTGGGTTCAGCAGTCCAATTCTGTCAGGCTTTTTTCCCTTGGTCCCACTCTGTTGTTTTTGTACTGAGTCTTTTTGCCTCATTTTTGCAAAATGGCTGCTACATATCCAGACATCACATTCTTATACATTCACATTCGAAGGCCACAGGCAGGTGGCTCCTTCTTTTTTTTTTTTTTTTTGTTTTTGTTTACTGGGGAAACAAAATTGTTTCTAGAGCCCTCAGCCTTAGCAGACTTCAGAATCTCATTGGCCAAAGATGGGTCTCATGGTCATCTTTAGCTGCAGTAAAAATTGGGAAGGAGAATACCTGGCATTTTTAACCTCACAGTGTCAGGAGAAGGTACAGACTAGGGAGAAGGGAGTTGTGAACGGCTGTCGGGATCTAACCAGCAGGGGCTGCCCTACGAGCAAATTTATTTCCTGTTTCTGTTTAAAGCTACACCAACTCCCATGTCCAGGTGGCCACACTCAAAATCCTTGGCATCATCCTAGATGCATCCCTGTTATTTGCTTCCCATGTCCATGTGTTATCCAAGCCTATTGGTTCTACCTTCAGAATTGCTCTGCCATCTGCTTCTCCCTTCCTAAACCATGCTACACCCTGGGTTAGACAGTGGAATGGCTGCCAAACCGCTCTCCTTGTGACCTGTTTTCCCCCCACCGTGTACTCTATCCACAGTCCCACAGGAAGTCATCCTCATGGAAGCAGCTCTGATCATGACACACCCCTGCTAGTGTCTGTGTCCCAGCTTCATGTCTTACTGCTACACAGAAGGCTCCTTTAGGGCCAGGCCTGTATCTCAGGTGAATTTTGATCTAGCTTAGCAGTTCCTTATCAAGGGCTATTGAGTGAATGAATGGATATATTTATCTGATGAGCTTCACTAGCAAAACACATCCCCCAGTTCTTCATTTTTCATTTTCAATATTTTCATGAATATTGAATTAACAAGACACTTCATTTTTTTTTAAGTTCTGTTCTTTTTTCCTTTACTTATAATAAGAAACTTCAAGATTGGGGTTAATTATTAATGATCCTTCTTTGCTTATCCCAAACCAAACTTGACGATTGGAATTTGGGATCTGTTTGACATGGTCTGAGTCTATGGCCCTAAAGCATATTTTTTTGCACATATATTTTATTTACTATCCTGACCTCTTTCTCTGGGCCTCTAAACTCGAAAAGGCAGCCATCACAACTGGTGGGCATTGGCCATTATGTTCTGTTTGTTTCAGAGTTCAAATGAGTGACTACAATGCCCAGAGGTTTACCTCTTTTCCTTTATTTTTTACTTTTTAAGATGGAGTTTTGCTCTTGTTGCCCAGGCTAGAGTGCTGTGGCGCAGTCTTGGCTCACTGCAACCTCCACCTCCTGGGTTCAAGTGATTCTCCTGTCTCAGACTCCTGAGTAGGTAGGATTACAGGCACTCACTAGTATGCCTGGCTAATTTTTGGTATTTTTAGTAGAAACAGGGTTTCACCTTGTTGGCTAGGCTGGTCTCGAACTCCTGACCTCAGGTGATCTGCCCTCCTGGGCATCCCAAAGTGCTGGGATTACAGGCGTGAGCCACTGCATCGTTTTCCTTTAGAAAAGCACTGGAAGGGAAATACAGCCATTCACATTAGCTTAAGTTTGAATGGCTTTGTTAAGAAATTGATTTTGCTCTGAATCTCACTGAACAATCTTGATTCACCTTAATCCTGTGGGTGACTCCTAGAGGGTCATCACCCCCACCCCGCAGTGGAGGGAGGGAAGTGCTCACTTGTGTGATTGACCTGAGGAAGAACCACGGACTATAGGCATCAGATGAAATCAACAGAACAACTTTTTTGCATCGGGATAGCGTTTGCTTCAGATGCTGTTTACTAGCACTTGAGCTGGAGAATTCTTTCTTTCCAGGAAGACAGTTTTTATTTCCTTTACTTATCATGTACTTTTTTTGAATGGGGGTTGGGGGAATAGACATGAAAAGCAAAAACATACTCAGTTCTTGCACTAACCCTATTTTCTTGTCTTCATTTTCAGTGTGACAGTGACAGTGACCAGGAAGAGAAGGTAAGACCCCCCTACCCCATTGTGGGCACAGCACATGACACACTGTGAACACCATAGTCCTCCCACACACAACTGCAGGGTGGAATGCCAGCTTCATGGTGACAGTACCTTTTCTTTTTAGGAAAGATGGGCATTATTCACACAGTGGCATTTCCTATACTATGACATGTTTAATTTGTCAGATCTTTTTTTTAAACAAGACCCTCAATATTACATATATGTGACACTGAGTTTTTACTTTATGGAAGATGACTCATAGACCCAAAAATATTTTAAAAGAGAATATTATTTATTTTGATAACCATCTGATTTTTTAAAATTCATGACGAGAACATTAAACTTGCTAGTATGTATTTATAATGTCATTTCTGCATTTATTTTACTTACCCATATGCTTTTCTGTACCTATTGGCCTTCTTAATAGAAATGTTAATGGTATGTGTCTCAGAATCTCATCATGAGGTATGGGTGGGCAAGGGAGGTCAGATGGGAACTGCCCTCTTCCCATCTGGACGGACGGCTAGGTAGGAGGACAGTTCTTCCAGCAGGTACATGCTCTGTTTCGAGGCTCATGGGCACCAGCCTCTGTGTATCCAGATCAACATGGATCAAGAAAAGGAACTCAGTTTCTGAGGTTCCAGAAGATTGGATCACAACCCGGTAAAGTGAGCTTTCTGTTGCCTGAAGCAAGGGGATTATTTGTCCGTTTGGTCTTTCTTTAGCTTTCCCAATCCCCAACCAAATTCCCTTCCATTTTTACTGCTGCTTTGTGTATTTCGAAAAGAGTTACCTGAATATCATGATTTCTATACTGCTTGGCATCAAAAGGATGGACTCAGCCCCTCTTCCCCCATTTCTGGATCTGCCTGTGCCATGTTCTTTGACTTTCACCTCTGGATTTTATTCAGAAGGCTGCGGTTAGTATTTAGTGGGATCTTTCCAACAAACCCAGAATGTTTCCCTCCTTCTCTGCTGCCAGCCTCCAAGAGAGATCTAAAGGCTCTTGTTCTGTACTGTCGTTAATTTGAATTCAGCATATGTAGCCTGTTATAAAATGCGAGACATCATCATTTGAGCAGGTCAAGCATATTCAGATGAAGACAAATGGTGCTTATTTGATTTCCTTAAAATCAGGAAATGAAAAAAGTGCTCTCTGGAGAAATCATGTTCTGCCTGACTTGGATGATAGACCAATGCATGTCCCCCAGATAAGAACAGGCTCTCGCCTTGAGGTTTTTATCTCTGAAGGACGGCCAGGACTGTCAGCTTGCTGACATGTGCATTATCCATGTCATTTTAAACAAAGTGACCTATGGAAGGGTGCGCTGTGCTGTGACATGGTAATGGGCTGTTGGATGACAGCAAAAGTACACACTGGAAAGGGGGCTGTGGATTATTCTTTTGTTTAACTGACAAGTAGGAGCTTCCTTCCTCCAGCCTTAGCTCCTTGGAAGTAGGACCTCTGGTGTCTCAGGCAGCCAGTGTGTAGTGGGTGCCAGGGACATGTACACAGCAGTAATGGTTCAGTTTTTAAGGCATGGTCAGTGGCCCCCCTGATCCCCCCAGGCCACATTCCCGCCTTGTGGGCATCACTGGTACCCAGGGAGGGGCTGGTACCTCCTTGGCCATTCCAGATCTCACTTTCTAAGTTTGTGCCACTTCTCGAGAAGGATAAGTCTTATTCAGGGTTGTACAACCAAGCTGACATTCTTTCCTTAAAAGGAAATATGAATTCCAAAACCATCACCAGTCTTCAGCAGTGGTGGAAGGTGGTAAGGATGCCAGTTTTGTATTCCTTGTCAGTGTCTTCACCGGTGGGTTCAGTATTAACTACACACCCAGATCACCGGGGAGCTGCTACGTGTTTCGGTGCCTGGGCCTCTTCCCAGGTCAGTGACCTCAGAGCCGTTGGGGCTGCTGTTTGGAACCATGGGTCTTGATGATAACCTAACTCTGGTAATTTCTAGAAGTAATCTGCCTCTGGCTGTCAGAAGGATCGGGGGCCAATGCCGAGACACCCTACCAGGTCCTTTCCCATCACCTGGGTTCCGAGAAGTTATCGCCTGGGTTTCCATCTCCAAGTGCACGGAACAAAGTGTCAGAGTAATGGGTGTTGGGAAGGCAGCTCCACCCACCACTCTGAGCTTCAGTTGACTTCAGGGTGATGAAAGGGATACGTAGTTGTTTATAGGCGAGTCCGAGAGTGACAGTGGAAGGAAGGGAAGAGGCATTGGGAGTGTTCCTCCGATCCCTGGCACACCTCCTGTCCTGCACCCCCGTTGATTCTTCCTTTTGACTGTGGTGGTCCTGCAGGCCTTAAGTGGGAGCCGCACCCCAACCAGTGCTCACATCATCTGTCCCTGCTCTGTCCCATTCAATTTCTCCAGAGGGCTCCAAACAGGAGCCATCAAGACTCGCAACTGCCCTCGCCCCTGCTTGGCCCTATTGCAGTTAAAGACTGTCAGGCTTTCCCTTTTGGACTTAGATTGTCTGGTGTTTATCAGCAACTTTAACACCATCCTCCAAGACATTTGCTCTGTCGCAGCCTGGGCCCCTGTCGGCCCCCTCTGTGAAGGAACCTCTTTCCTGTGCCTGCCTCGGAGCCCCAGAGCTAACCAGGGCTGCTTTCATGTGTTGCTAGGAGGATTCGCATTCAAATCTGAATTGCTAATGGTGGAAAAGTTGCCACGCAGTGTCCTGGGATCCCTTCAACAAGCCCCACCAGGAATGCTGTTGGAGGCAAAAGTGAGACTTGTCGGGGACCCACTGGGGTTTCTCTCAGGAAGACCTGCCATTCTCTTACTCCATAGGGATCTGCAGAACGAGTGGGCTGAAATTAGGGTACTGTGTTTCACACAGCTGACTGAATTAAGATAAACTCTGCTTTCCTCCGATATGAAGCTGTAATTTATAAAATGATACCCTTACTAATTAACGTGGAAGTGACTCCGAAAGGGGCTAAAAAAGCAGAGCTTTCCCTAAATGCAGGAGACACACTTGTGCACAAAAAGGCTTTGTTGAGACACTGAGCAAAGCCTCTCCCTTATCCTCCCCTCCCAGCCACGTGAATACATCCCACATTAATGTCAGAGAACCACGAGGACGTTCATAAAGAGTAGAAATTGGCCAGGTACAGTAGCTCACGCCTGTAATTTCAGCACTTTAGGAGGCAGAGGCAGGCAGATCACGAAGTCAGGAGTTCAAGACCAGCCTCTAGCCAACGTGTTGAAACCCCGTCTCTACTAAAGATACAAAAAATTTCCAGGTGTGGTAGCATGTGCTTGTAATTCCAGCTACTCAGGAGGATGCGGCAGGAGAAGAATTGCTTGAACCTGGAAAGCAGAGGTTGCAGTGAGCCAAGATCACGCCATTACAATCCAGCCTGGGTCACAGGGTGAGACTCCGTCTCAAAAAAAAAAGTAGAAATTGGGTCAGAAGGCTGTGAACACTGCATCTTAGATGTGGGATTGTTCTTCATTGTAGTAAGAGTGAAGAAAAGAGGCGGCGCTTGGCACTCTTAATCACCCAAATTAAGCAATTATTCTGATCCCCTATTGGAAGTGAATTGGTATCATGAGAGCGAAGAGGAAACGTGCCTATTTCCGTATATTTAGCCTGTATTTTATTTTGTTTCCTTTCTTTCTCCACCACTGGCAGCAGCCCATTGTGCTAAGAAATACCCCCTATTTGGTGATGAAGTTAATGTGGAGATTCAAAGTCACTCCCCCTTCTTCTGCCCACATCCTTTTTCTTGTATATGGCATGTGACTGAGCTGATTGGAAGGGGTGTAGCCCAGTGGCCAAGCACGTGGGCCTCAGTGTGGTGGCCGACGCATGTTTCTGACTCTCCCTTTCTATTTTGTTGTGGACAAGCCTCAGCTTTCTCAGCTGTCGAATGGGAGTGACAACAGCTCTACACATTGTCCTATAGCAGTTGAATGAAAGTAATTAGGACCAGGCATGGAGGCTTGTGGGTGTAATTCCGGCACTTCAGGAGGCCAAGGCAGCTCTTGTCTTTGAGCCCTGGGCAACATAGTGAGACCCTGTCTCTTAAAAAAAAATCTTTTAAAAATTAACCAGGCATGGTGGCATTTGCCTATAGTCCCAGTTACTCAGGAGGATGAGGCAGGAGGATTGCTTGAACCTAGGAGTTTCAAGACTGCAGTGAGCTAAGATCATGCCACTGCACTCCAGCCTGAGTGACAGAGTGAGACCCTGTCTCTACAAAAATGAAATAAAAATATGTGAAGACATGTGGCTCAGTGCCTGGTCTTTATAAGTGCTCAATAAATGTTAGCTTTTGTTCATTTTACTTGAGATAAATTGAGAAAGAATACTTGAAAAAAGAGGAAGACTAGCATCCTCTTTGGAAAGTTGGGGTTCTTCTGGAGAACCTGCCAGAGAGTTTCCCCAGAATCTAAGGCTCAGCCTTTATCCCACGGGCCCTTCTGCCGGATACAGGCTGAATGAAAGTGTTAAATTTGGAAGGGTTCTGAAGCAGTGTTTCTTAAACCCCTTATGCAAACATCAGGCCTTCCTCTGAGCAGAACCTGGAGCCAAGAGCACGTGCACTGTCCTGGAGGGATCCAGTGGTGATTAAGTGGATTGTACAGCTCTTGTCCCTTCAGCAGCTGTTCCCAAATGCCAGACACTGTTGGTTCCCAGAAACCCATCACAGGAGAGAGGTTCTGGGGTGAGGCCAGAGCATCTGTATTTTTTAAAAAGCTTCCTAGGTAATTTTGGTACACAACTGGTTTTGAGAACGACGGCCTTATAATAAACGTCAGAGAGAAACATGATCTTTCCCCATGTTCAATTCCCTTGCAGTTTTGCCTGCTTAGGAGAAAAGCTTGAAAGCTGTAGGGATGTTGCCTGTGTGCACACTCATGAGCCACCCATGCTTATGTATGTAGATAGCGGGGATAAGCATGAGCCACTCATGCTTATGTATGTAGATAGGGGGGATAAGCATGCCTGCAGTACACACACATGATCTCACA